TGAATGATGATGCATTTATATACCGTCACCATCATTCACAGCCGCTCGCACGTGTTTTGCGCATGAGCCGCACGCAGCCCAAAATTAAACGACTTAATCGACCATCGATAGCTTTAATCGATTGCATCTCTTATCGACAATTAATCGATCATCGATTAATCGTTGACATCCCTACTCCTTACAATCAAATAAATCATGATAAACAGAATTGACTATTTTATATCTGTTCTGTAGTGTTTATACTTGTCTGCGGTTTTACTCTGTATTGATAAAACTTGTGCATCCAGTGCAAAGAGAAAAAAAGCAAAACGTAGAGGATATGAGTCAGATTATGGGCATTTATACAGTTTACAGACTGAACAGGTGCTGTAATGTGCATAACAGGTTGCTTTTACCTTTTTTAGGTAAAATTATTAAATATATGGAATTAGTTTTTGAAATATTGACAAAGTTGAGTCGAGCTCATTACTTGACAATTCCTGTCTATAAAAGTGTAAATGTGCAGCAAACAACATGTACATTTAGAAAGAAATTAATCATAATAAATAACCATTTTCAATTAATTTCAGCTATAATATAATATAACAGTTAACGTTAGTTAACATGAACTAATGAACAATACTTCTACTGCTTTTATTAATCTTAGCTAATGTTAACATTAAAGGCACAATATGCAAGTTTTTCATCATAAAATATCCAAAAACGTCTTACACAGTGTGATATATTTCATGCAGTTGTGTACTTACATTATCCCAAAAGTTCCCAAGGATTTGTAAATCCTGAGAAATTAAAATTTTAAATAATGGCTCGTCCCTGGTCATTGTCGCCTATCAGTGACATAATATCTGCACTATCGTCTCAGGTTACTTATGTAACCATGGTTCCCTGAGTAGGGAACGAGAAAACTGCGTCCTCTAGGGGTCGCTATGGGGAACGCCTTGTCGTGACCCGTGTCTGAAGCATACATTGAAAAAACACCAACTCGTTGGCCGGCGACAGCCATGACGTCACTACCGGTGCGACTATAGTATAAATAGGCGCCGGGAGCTACACATCATTCACTTCTTCGTCTGAAGCTTGCGTCCGCAGCATGGCAAGAAACCTAGAGGACGCAGTGTCTCGTTCCCTACTCAGGGAACCATGGTTACATAAGTAACCTGAGACGTTCCCTTTCATGGGAACTGCGAACTGCGTCCTCTAGGGGTCGCTATGGGGAACGGACGCAGTTCGAAGTTCCCATGAAAGGGAACCTCAGTTTCCGCTTGTAGAAGCTATGGCAACAGACAGACACAAATGATGCTGTACAGTTAAACTAAATCCATTATGGCTGTTGCGAATAAAATGAAAATGAAATTAAAAAGTGTTGACCGCAGCATTAAACTGAGATCTGCTCAATGTTGCGCCATGATTCTTTTTACGCGTTTTTACAGTGATGCGCATTATAACCAATCACACATGAATCTTTTGAGCTTATAAATGGAATGACCAATCAGAGGCGTTCAGATTAGTTTTTTGTTTGGTGCACGCGCTCGCTGACTGAATTCAGCTCTCACGTGAATTCTCTCATCTTAAACAACAAAGTGCAGATGTATGTATGATGTAAGTAAGAGATTCA